TGTCTGGGACTTGGTATACGTTTTGCTATTGGGCTGTGGGGATAGGTCACATTGCATTTGGAGGGTACTTTAGTACGCGTTCACACTTCCGGGTACCGCGGGTTATTTTTATCTGGCTCGAACGTCAAAAAGGGCGCATAGAAATTGTCCCGAAACGGTGTACACAGTCTACGTTAGGTAATGTACAATCCCTATCACCTGGCGCTGAAACGTCGCTCATGACAGCACCGGGGTGAAAACATGACAACGAGAAATGACAACTATGCTGGACACTGAGCGAGGCGCTCTCGCTGCTACATCTGGAAACAATGAACACTGCCCCGGAAACGCCGGCAGGCCGGCCGTGTCTGAAACAGGGCTGCTATTCACACTGATATCTAAACAAACACATGGCGGCACGACCTAGTGTAACAGTGCTAACTGACCATGCTAAATGGTCGTGCGACCTTTTAGTGTAATGGTTAGCGTTGGTGACCGCCAAGCGGACAACTCGGGTTCGATTCCCGGTTGTGACATGCTCGCCCCTTTCGGTTTTTACACTGGATCTGAGAAACACTCTCACCATTCTGTAACTCGTGAGCATCTGTAGTACTAGTATACGAAAGCGCCGACTGTCGGCCGGAACCGGTCAAATCTAACAAACCATCATGTCTACCAAATATATCACCGCCACTTGTGCTAACCGTGGCAAATATGTCGCTGTTCTTAGCTGCCTGCCGCGGTTTGGTACCGGTTAAATCTAACAGGAATCAATGAAACCTTGCTGATAAGATTGCGATTTGTTTTCGAAAATATTATTTTGTCTCGTGTTTGTAACGTTCGCTAAAAATGAGGTTCTAAGTTTTAACCGTAACATGAAAGATATGAACACGCTTCTGTGCATGTTTTGATGTTTTTTTGAAGTGATTTGAACTAGTGTGGGATAAGTGGGGAGGGATGGCAGCCGCGGGGGGAAGCGTAGCGGCTTGATACATTTTCGAGAGCAAGTTCCGCGCACTGGAGTTGATTTCTCACGCGGCCGTTTGTGTAGGTGTTTGTTTACATTATCGCTGGTCGCTGAGGGTCGGGCAGCCAGATTCGCCACGGAATGCCCCCTGTCCTTTCTATTTTTGGGCTCCAGTCGGCTAGGGGGGTTTAGTGATTTCACAGATCATTTAGCCAATTACAAACATTTCGAAACTTTTCGAAAAACTAAAACTGAAACTGTTTTTTTATTCACATTGATTGGCAGCCAATATTCATTGCTTGGCTGAATTGCACAAGTGATTACATGTTAAAATAGCTTGAAAAGAGATACACATTAAAAAGCACAACATTGACGATTAAAATTAAATAGATTTAAAATTTTGTAGCTCAGGTCCATTAAAACAGAGGCGGACTATTTACAAATCTTGATTGCTGAGGCTTATTGCCTGAAACAGAAAAGATTTCCTCAGTCTTTCAGTTCTGAACTTCGGAACGGAGATGTGGTTTCCATTTCTCAGGGACCGCCGTGTGCTCTGGTGTCTGTCGCAGGGCATCAAAGAATGCAAAGTGTGGCTGACATGCCGCATTTGCTTGAGCAGAGTTTTTGCTGCAGTTTCCTGTCTGTCCTGGAGGGTAGAGAAGGGGGTTGTTTGAGTACTGTTGCCGTAGATGATTCTCGCCGCCCTTCTCTGTACAGCCTCAAGAGTGTTGTTCTGTTTTGTGTTACAGCCCACGTACACGACATTTGCATACTCTAACACAGGTCGTATCAGAGTCGTATACACAGTTTCCAGGTCCTCTGGTGGCATCCCGCCCTTCTTGAGCATGCGGAGAAAGTGAAGACGGGTTGAGCCTTTCTTTGCCATGTGTAAGATTTGGCTGTCCCACCCAAGGCTGCGGTGACGTTTGAAGCCCAGATACGTGGCACATTCAACAACCGGGACTTCTTTGCCTCCAAGTGTGAGGGGAGGTGGAACAGGTGGAGTTTTTGAAAAGCACAGTCTCAACTCATAGGACTTATCCCCGTTCATAATCATATTGTTCTTGTTCGCACAGGTGTCAAGTTGCGTAGCTTCCTCTTGCATAGTTGTGTCACGTGGTATTCGCGTGAACACACACACACCCAGACACCATTCACTAATTTAAAGAACAGTCCCAACATGCACCCAACATTCTGCAACATACATTACAATACCCGGAGGTACAAAATCTACGATTTTCCTTGTTGAAGCTAAATTTTGTTCTATTTCAAGCTAGATTACCCAGCTGACTGAATTGCCTGCTGCACTCCTCACACCTGTAGGGTTTTACTCCTGTGTGAGTCCTCATGTGTGTCTTCAGGCTATATAGATGACGGAACTGTCTGCCACACTCCTCACAATTGTAGGCTTTCTCACCCGTGTGAGTCTGTATGTGAGTCTTTAGATTACCCAGCTTACCAAACTGCCTGCTGCACTCCCCACACATGTAGGGTTTCTCCCCAGTGTGAGTGGCCTTGGAAATAAAAGCCCCTAAGAGCCAAGTCTTAGAAATGCCGTGATTGGTCAGAGTGGCTGGGCAAAATACTGTCTCCATGTGTGCCCATTTGTACGGTGGTCCTAGAGCATCGCTCACAAAGAATTAGTTGGAAACTTGAAGTGGTTGATGTAGTTTATTCCCAGTGTAACGAAGCTTACATGAAGTGTGAGTCTCTCTTGCACTGCTCAAGCGAAGACTCCCTCCCCTGGCCACAGCCAGGCGGAGACTCCTCCCTTGGACACAGCCAGGCCGGGACTCCCTAAGAGAAGACTGATTCAAGAGAACGTTTCTGTCTCTAACGACAACTCTGGTTGTCCTTGATCTAATTTAAAGGACTTGTTTACTCATCTTTGTAAGAATGAACGTCTTATCATTGAACTTGAAGTTGTCCCTAAATCTGTGCTATGTAGCATGGACAAAAGGGACTATTACCATACTTAGTTAAGTTTCTGTATTTACCTCAGGTAACCTAAGGTGAGCCGTGCAACCTTAGTGTTCCACTAATTAACCCTTAACTTCCTATAGTGTCCTTGAATGTCCTTATAGTGTCCTTCAATGGCCTTGAATGCTGGATGACCTTGAATGTCCTTCAACTGTACATATCAGATAGTTGAAGATCACAGAAAGATGGTGGTTGTTGTGGGCCACCCTTATGGTGGGGACAAAATGGTTGACTTCTGCCACATGGCGGCTTTGGAAAGGCATCATATCATCCATGTTATGTTTGAGAACCATCTCTCTGAAAACCTCAGGTTGCAAGGTTTGACTTGCATGGTCTCTGATAGCAGTCAGACGGACCCCGCGCTCAATAAGGCTTTGCCCGCTACTTTCAGGGAAGAATCCCCTGGTGTGCATGAGCACCACATTACCCTGTGTGTCAAACCCTGGGGAGCCTGAGGAACCATGGAACATCACACCTGTGTGGTACAGGGGCTTGCGTGCATCTTCTTGGGGAAAATTGGGGTATAAAAATCTTTGTCGTGGGCTCACGAGTGGCCTTGTTCTTGGCGTTCCTTGTTCGGCATCGCTATCAACACCAAGTTTTGGGGCATTTTCCATCCAAAGTATCGAATGGGCATGGGGGGACCCTCTGGCTTGAAACTCTCTCTCTCTCTCTCTC